TCCCAAAAACCCCCCCCCCCCCCGGACCCACACAGCCACACTCCTCTCCTCTCGAACTCTCTTGTGCCATCGCAAAACCGAACAGATACATTTTCACGTTTTCTAAGAGAGATGATGGAAGACAATAATATACAGTGAAGAATATACGTATATGTATATATTATATATTGATCTTGAAAACATTACAGAACAGCAAGCTAGTTCAATAAGCAGAAATGGACAGTACTGGAATTTATTTACAAAGAAAAATGAGAGACAGAAAGAGAACCTTTTGTTGGAAAAAATGGTTATGAAATGGGTCAACTTTGAGCCCAAATTTCAATGGGACCCACATTTTAATTAATACGGGACCTAACATATTCACGTTCTACTCCGCGAGATGATTAACATGATACATTTATTTATCGAAAATCATTTAAAATTGAATGAAATATTAAGTTTTAAAGTAACCCACATAAACTACGGATTATGGAAGAATTTGATTTTCCAAACACTTATCCTACATAGGAAAGTTATGAAACTTTGGTGTGGTTTATAAGGTAAAAGTTTGGAATTGGGTTTGGGCCCCAAGGGGTACCAATAGTCTTTGGAAGGGGGAAGACCTATATCCTATTGGGTTCGGTCATAAACCCACACGGGCGCTCCGTCGCCGCCGTCCATCCGACAGGCTCGGCACGTACCTGGTCCGGTCCAGTTGTGGACCTTTACACTATATTAACTTTTTGGACAAAATTTATTTAAAATTTTGGGCCAAATTGTAAATAATCAAATTTTTGGGTACAATATGAAATTTAAATTTTGACTTTTTCCGAGTGTTTTATTTTCTTTTAACAGTCGACTGTTTACCGACCAAACAATCGACTGTTTACCGACAAAACAGTCGACTGTTAACCGACTTAACAGACGCGACTTTTAAGAACAACATGTCTGTTCGAAATTTTGAGGCTTGTCTGAAAGGTGATGACTGTTCGAATGGCCACGAACAAGTCTATAAATAGCCAGCCTCTCTACCAGAAAATTTACACCATTTTCATTGCAAATATTCTGTGCTTTGAATCTCATTTCACTCTCTCTCTCGTTCTGATATTGTCTCGAAGTAAAACACACTTCGTTGAGTTCGTTGGAACTCCTGCATGGAACTCCTGCAGATTGCAGTGCTGCTTCTGTAGGAGACGAAAATTCCTTCTATCATGGGAAACAATTGCTGGACGCCTTTAGCACCATTGAAGGCAGCAAATTCATTTTAAGGAAATATCGTGAAATCGGTGGGCTCGAATTACTGTTTAGATCCTGTTGATTAATTCTTACATTCAGATGATTCTGTCGGATTGTTTTCGAATGAGAAACTTCAAACTCCAGAAACAACACCTTTAGTCCTCTCCATCAGGTCGAGCTACTTCCTCCTGTATCATAATTGCGTTCTGATGAACTATCAAAGGGCCTGAAGAACGAGAAGAAATCTCCCTTAATAACACTTCCATGACTTTTCGTAGGCAGCTGAAGCCGACAAAAAGGGCAAGAATTATGTTGAAGCAACCAAGGAACAATGCAATCAGAATGGTACATATGATTACATGGCATCTGCCTTGCTCGCGTATGCTTCTTTAAGTCTTCTAAACAAACTGCGCAGTTTAAACCCAACTCGGCATCTCTCTCTCTTATCGTGACGGTGGGCAGGGCCTCGATGAACGAGGAGCCAGGATTTGTGAGACATTCTGATTCTGAGTAATGTTCAATGTGAGCTGCTTGATATCTTCATCCAACCCGTTTTGGTGTTGGGTTTGGTATTGGGGAGGTTGATTGGAACGACGATGGTGGTATTCAACCATATTGGCCCAAGACTTTGGTAATTTTTCGACAAAACCATCATGGCGATGTGGGCAAATTAAATATGTTGTCGGAAGTCGAATTAGATATCTGCATATGTAGCAGTAGCACCAGTGAGATGATCCATCATCATTGCTACTATTTGGCATGCTTTTCTATGCCAACAAGTTTCAAATTGGAAAATATAATATCTCAAACACCTGCATTCAAATCAATCACTAGAATTAACAAGTAAATCGAGAGGGCGTTAGTCTTTTTGCTCGTTTTCTGGGCTTTTTACTATTTTTTCTCCTCTTTTTTCGTTAGGATTTAATCGACTTCAATCGAGCTCGCTAAGTATTTAATTTTCTTTGTACTTTGATTTTGCTTTCTGATAAAATTTTCACAAGAAAAACAATCAACAATTCCCAGTGAATATATCAGAATTGGAGTTACCAGAGAGTGTTGGGGTGGAAAGTTGCAGTTTGATTTCTCTATTTGCACATTTTTGCGTATAGAGAACTAAATGTTATTTTGTTCAGTTAATGTGTGATTTTCTTAATGAAAAATAATTTCAAATCATAGTTTTTTTCATTAAATGGATAAATTGAAGGTTCTCTTCGGATTTTGACAAAATAAAATTTTGTAGTTAAGGCATTCCGAGCATTGAGCTAAGCACACGTCTCTCTAATTGCAATATATTTTAAATTTATGTTTGGTTGAGCTTAAAAGTAAAATACGAGAGTTAAAATACTAAAATTTTGGACATTTGCATTTGAAAATCTTATTTATATCATTTATAACTCGATCTTACACTTCATGATCAAATAAACAAGATTTTTTTTGCAGTTAAATGTCGTAAGATCTACTTCAAAGGTAAAAGGCTAAACCCTTATTTCATCGATTTTGAGATGCATATGAATCAGAAATCCAAAAATGGATGCTTTTGTTCATTTTCGTCATGAAAACATAGTCATTTTAAGCATGTTTAGGAGTTGTTTATAAAAAGTATAAATTATAAATAGATAAAAATGAATGATAAATAAGTAAAATGGCATGTCCCAAGAAATATGTTGTTGAAGAAAGTGATTTGATTAATTATAAATAATTTATAAACAGTAGCCAAATAAGAGCCACTCGATTCGATCCCTTAAATTCTTCTTCACAAATAAATTGAGAAAGCCAACATGAAGATTTCACATATGAATATTATATTTGCTAAGTCCTATAATTTGAAAAGGCATTAAGAAGTCATTCATTATTTGTTCATAGGTACCAACTACCAACCCACAAGAAATAACTCGGCTAAATTTTATGGAAGAGTATCTTTATTTGACAACCAAACTCCAATTAGACTAAAATAGAGCAAACTACAAGGTACATAACATTACAAAAGCAGAAAAAATAGCAGTGAGACTGAGAGCGACTCGAAAAAATCCAGAAAATACCCACCCAACAAAGATGCGTCTTCTTCGACTGCACCCCTTGGAATTCCAAGGAGAATGGAGGCACATAAGCACGAGTTCTCATCTTGGGCTTGTTTTCGTATCTTGACTGCATCCACAGATTAAAAAGTCAGTACAAATGCGTACGTAGGCCACCGTGCAAGGTGTAAGGGATCACTCCCAACTAAACATCCTCGACTAGACAAATTTGTGACTGAAGGTTGCAGGTTAACCTATTACAGAACTCATGATAAGAGTTAAGAGTAATATTCTATGTCAAATAAGCACAAATCATCTAAGGAGAATCTCAGCAGGTCCACAGGTTATATAAAATTTAGATTACTAGAGACACAAGCCTCAAGCCGTAGGATTTCAGTTCAGAATACAATCTTGCACCAAATGATCAGATTACAGCTTATATAATCAAATCTAGGATGAGGAAAAAGATATCCATATATTTGCTGAGGCTTGGCCATACACCTGACGTGTCCACGTCACCTTTCAAAATGTGCTACATTGTTTACCGAGATGCAAACTCACATCCATGGTTTCCCATACTTAAAACGGAGAAGAAAAAGGGTCCTAAAAAAAGTACAAAAAATTCAATAGAATTTTCAAAATAGATTGTATTAGGGACCACTTCAATTGACTGTTGTCTTTAGATAATAGTTATACACGCAGAGACAAAACAAAGAAAACCAATTACAGCAGCAAGTATTATACTCCCTCCGTACCAATTATGTAGGCTTGTTTTGTTTTTTACACGGATTAAGAAATCTTCTTTAATATCATTGGAAAATTAACTTTTACCAAGATCTTTCCTAGTTTATCCCTATTTAATTATCAGTATGTAGTAGTAAATTATTGTTGGAATTAGTAAAGAATTTGAATGATTTAATTTGAAAAAAAAAATGATAGTTGTTCCATGTTTCCAAGAAGTGAGAAATGTGTGTATTTAGATGATTTCAAGAAATTGGCATATTAAGTAGAGAAAATTGAATAAGGGCATATTGGTAAAGGAACAAAACAAAATATTTTAAATTAGGAAACGGGCCTATGTATTTGGGACGAGAAAAAGAAAATCCAGCCTATATAATTGGGACGGAGGGAGTAAGTACCAGAAAAGGAGTGCAATATACTAGCTAATCAAGAGCCATGGCTTCAGGACCCTCAGTGCCATACTCAACTCCAGTCCTATTCTCATCAATTGATGTTCGCATTTCCTCTACTAAATTCCTCTGTTCTTCCTCAATGTTAATCTGCAATTCATCCACCTGCAATGAAGTATTTAATTATAGAGTAAGATAAAAAGGATTACCGAGTACTACACCACAAACTATGAAAACTAAGAAGCGACTCAATAATCTACATTCAATTGATATATTAAAGGGAATCACCATCTAATCTATGGCTTCACATTACAGTTATTCAGGAACAGAAGAATTGCTCAGTGCTCCCAAACAATTTGAGATGACTATTAATTTCTAGTAGTACAGCTGTTCATGATGGTGAGTTTCATTCCTCCCCTCATTTCCTTTAACACATATCAGCATGAGAAGATGAGATTGATGATGGGGGTATGTTACGAAGGAGAGGGGAGGAGAGAGGAGAAGAAAGTGCTATAATCAGGATACGAGATCTCATATAACCAGAGAGGATAACATATATAGAGAACATAATAACATACAAAAGTCAAAGAGGACAAAGTAAGCAGTATAGTGGAGAGTACTCTGGGATCTGCAAAAGTTTACATAGTAATTCCAAAATTCTTTGTCACACCAAAGTTATGATGTGAAGAGACTGACATATAGAGTAGTCAAAGCTTTTTGCTTCCAAAACAGATAAAACAACAAATTTCAAAAGAATCTTAACAAGACCCCTAAGTCCTAGGAATCCAGTAGTCTAGACATATGTTAACGTGCAATTAATCAAATATGGTCAAACCTTAACACTTGCATGTTCCTCAGAGAGATGGAGACTTCTTCTCCCTATGTACCACCTCATTATTGAGTTAACACTCCAACAGTAGGATGAAATTCTGGTTTTCCCAGAATTAGGTATGTATGGAATTCCAGCAGGTCAGATATTAAATTAATGGAACTGTAATTGAGAAGTCAGTATATACCCTTGGTGTTGACACAATATAAACAAACTCTTCCCTCAGATTCAAATGTACAACTGGTACAAACAATATATCATGGTGCAAGGCAACGGTCTCTCCAGACGAAAAAATTACCAATAGCTAAAATTTTCAGATGACAAACTTCTACGAACAGAAACATAATTTTTTTTCTTTTTCTTTTTTGTACTTCTATCCTAAAAATATAAAAGACCAAGAAATAATACATAATTACTCCAGCAAGTTTTGTGTTTCTCTAGGTATTGAAACATTTCTTGGCAATAAGTCATAAAGTCCCACCTTTTTAATGAGGTGACAAATACTCTATATTTTATACACAGTGCACCACAAGCATATAAATTATCACATAAGATATAAAGCATTGATCTTGTGCGAGTAAATAACCAATACGCACCACGTGTAACAGAAGAGAAAATTGCTTTTTCCGAAGTTCCAGTGTCCTTGAGCCAGCAGTGTTCTCTGCTTCTAATATTTCTATCTCTTTCTCGAGATCAGTAATGGTTTTTTGAGTCTCTGATCTTGGTGGCTGCATAGCAATTAACTTCCTAATAGCCTCACACTCCTCTTTGTGCTGCCTCTCAGTCTTGCTTTCTTCCAGTTGTTTCTTCAGATCTTCTATATCGGCCTGCGCCTGTAAAATCTGCTTATTTATCTCATCCTTCAATTCGTTGAAGTTTTCTTTCTCTCTATTATTAGCATCTATAACTGCTTTACTCTTGAGAAGCGGAATTTCAAAAGTATTAATCTCCTGTAAAAAAGCCTTGGTAAGTCTATCACAGTCACTGTGGTTATCGGCTTCTTTCTCTATTTCCAGCACGAAAGCTGTAAACTTTTTCTGTAGTTTCCTCAATGGAGGATCACCCCTTGTTGTTGTCGTACGGGTCAGAAGCCTGTGCTTTATTATTATGTCATCTTCAAGCGGACCAAAAGCATAGTGAGGAGCCGCTGTCTCTCCCCTGCCAGCAACCTTCCTCCCTTTTAACATTTACTCTTAATTTCTTACTTCTAACAACAATACAATCTGTCCACCTGTGAGTGTGCAAAAAATAAAACATATGATATGAGAAGGCACAAAAAACCCCTTTTAAGCATCCATTAAAATTCGGAATTATTCAATTTTTAAGGTTCGTGAATGAAAGTTTGAGATAATTCCACGTAATTGTTTTCTCCACAAATTTCAGATAAAATTAAGGCCCCTTTTGTACCCATTTGTGTAAGAATGAAAATGAAAAATATAGTCGTTACAAGAACCACACGAGATAGAAAGTCAAATATGGTGCCTTAATGTGATGGATGACCATCATATTTTTCATTTTTGTAGTCAAAGAATGGGATCAAACGGGGGCTAAAATATTTGTGCTGCTAAACAGAGTAAGAACATTTGTGTCATAGAACGTGGAAGAGTCGAACCCAAAAGCTAGCCAGTTGAAGACCCAAACCTATATAAACCGTGCAAAGGAAGCCCATACTTCCAACATGGGATTCAAGTGCCCATACACTCCAATGGAAACCATGACAAATCACCACGCGACGACCATACACCCAGACACCCTAAGTGGTAACCGGGACCAGAAGACATAATGCCTACTCTGATACTATTGTCACAGCTTAAAAAGCCAGGCCCCAGAAGCTAGCCATGAGGTTGAAGAACTCAAGCCTATATAAACCACAGATCGGAAACCATATTTTCAGGATTTAGGTGCCCATGCACCACAATGGGAACCAAGACAATTTGCCATATATTTTTGGAAATTCCATGCCTGAAGTACAATAGGATTCCAACGCGCAACAAGTAGTATAAAATCAAAAGAAATACAGAAACATCAAGCAATGAACTATAAAAGAAAAATACAAGCTTGAAATGAAATGAGATTAACACTTACGAGACAATTGGGATCGAGGAGAGAGGGAGATTGGCTCGGAGCTTAGGGTTTTAGGGACGAGTTGATGGGATTCTTTTCCACGAGCAAAACGAATAAATCGCTTTCATTCGTTCCGAAGTAGCAAAATAATTAAACTTGGACAATGAATTAGAAAAACATCATTTGCACTTAGTGCTGGCGGTCGCAGCGTGGGGTTCGATTTTTGATACATGAAATTAGATTTTTTGTAGGCACAGTTTACACGGTTGCAGCGTGGGGTTCGATTTTTGATACATGAAATTAGATTTTTTGTAGGCACAGTTTACAGACAGTGCTCGTTCCCTTACCTGTAAGGGCATATTCCACGATTTACTTCCTTCACAAAACTCTAGGGACAGAATGGTAGAGCCCTCAAGATTGGAGTTTAACCCTTTTTTTTCCTTTTTTCTTTTTTCTTTTTTTATTTTAGAAAAACATCATTTAAATTTATGATAATTATACAAACATCCTTCCATTTTTAAACGTTACAAGATCCTCCCTAAAGTTTACTTTTAGATAAAAATCAGAATTTTAATAAAATTTGATAAGATGTTTGTTAATAAAATTGTAAATTTTATGAAATGTGTAGTTAAAATTATTTATTGACTTCAGCTTAGACTTTAATCTAAAAACATGGACTTTATTCATTATACTATTTTGATATTATTGTTTTTATTAAATTTAAATTTTATATTTATGTATTTTATTATTTCTAAAGACCTTTTTTTTCATATTTTTTACTCCATTTAAATTTAAAAAATAACATTACAAAGTTTATTAATAATATTACAAACTCATAAATTTTGTTTTCTGAAAATATAATTGACAAATGAGTAACAAATCAACATTAATACATGTTTTAAAGTGCTAATTATAATTTTTTTTTTTTTTTTTTTTTTTAAAATTTTTTTTTTTTTTTTTTT